GACAATGAGATGAGTGTGTGTGCTTGCCAAGGACAAAATTCCACAGCAGTCACTGAGCCCTGATGGCCCTTCAGCTCCACCAGCACAGAGCGACCCTAGGGGAAATTGTAAAATCACAGACAGAATGTTCCAGAATTGTTTCCATAAAGAAATCACACACACACACACACAGACACACACACACACACACACACACACACAGACACACACACACACACAGCATTTTTGCTTATAGTCTAATAGTTCTGTGGAAAAACTACCTTCTGTAAGTTGGAGAGACATAACTTGCAGAAAGACCCTGAACTCTGGAGACTTTGTTGAGCTAAACAGAACAGAACATTGAACAGAATCTAGAGTATGCACTATATAAGGTCAAGCCCACAGGCCAGAATATGGCGACCTAAGAGACCATGACAAAGAACAGATTCTGATTCCCTCCACTTTCTAGGAAGTTTTCAATTCACTAAAAATAACAACATATCCTGGAGAATATTCTAAGTTCTTACACTTTAAAGATGTCTTAAGAGTGGGAGAGAGCTCAGAAGGGAGAGAGCTCAGAAGAATAAGTGCTTGTCTGGCAAGCTCAGGATCCTGAGTTTCATCCCTAGTACCACAAAAAAAAAAAAAAAAAAAAAAAAAAGGTGTGTTTAGTTTAACCAAAGTATTCTATACCTATTGGATTAAATCCTCGGCCCTCTACTGGAAATCGTTCAAAGCCAATCTGATGGACAGTACCCCTCTGAAGTGCTTTGATGAAAACAAAGAACACTTAGGTCTTAACCCACTGGCCCATGTCCTCTACTCTGTCCCCTCAGTACAGTCTCCCACGTCACACACCCATGGCTTGTCCCCACCGCACCCTTCCCACTATACTGACCCCTCTCAGGGTGCCCTCACATGTCACAGGCATGTGGCTTGTTCTCTAATGAGAAAGTGCACTCATGACCATCACGCTGTCCCCTCAGTAACTTCACCTACATGACAACTAGTCCTTTGTCCCTTGACTGGACAGCACTCTCACCTGAGTCCACCATACAGCTCCCTTGATCCATTCTCATATGTCACAAGCACATGGCTTGTTCTCTGACAGGAAAGCACACTAACCCATGCCTGCCACGCTGGCCTCTCATTAGGGTCCCAAGCTCAGAGCTTGTTTCCTTACCAGACAGTCATACACACATGTCCACTACAGTGTCCACAGAGAACCTTCTCAGAGCTCATACTCACGGCTTCTCACTGAGTGGAAAGCCCCACACCCTACTTTGTCCTCTCACTTGTTCAAAGCTGTTCCCTCACAGGACAGCCACACACACATCCTGAGAATCTTCTCAGAACTCACACACTTGTGGCTTCTCCCTCACTGGAAATCTCCTTCATCCACGTCCACTATGCTGGCCAAGCAGTAACTTCTCTCCCATCACAGGCCCGTGGCTTATTCTCCCACCAGACAGCCCACTCACCTATGTCAAGCAGCTGCAGATACTCAGTGTAAAATCAGCAACCAACAATACGTAGGTTGATTTCCTTCATTCATTTCAAGCAAAGAGTAAGTGAGAAGTGTGGTTCTTGGTAGAAGCCAAGATATTTGAGGAGGAGGAGGCAGCACTGCCTTCAGGGGAGTGTGGGGACCCCACATGCAAGAACGTGAGGGACCAACTAAGCGTGTTTGTCAAGGTCGCCCTAGATGGCCAGATCTCCTGCAAGGTCCTTAGGACATTTTTATACAAACTTCCTAATAAACACATGTTCTCATATTTCTCCCTAACATCTTTCTAAAAATGCATCAAGAAACTCTAGTTATGAAAGAAGAACAGGAAAAGAAGAAAAAGGGCAGGGTCATGCCACTGGGAGGCCCCATCAGTGGAGCTTCGCTGAGCTGTTAAGTCTTACCTTGACATCCAGCATGAATATGGTGCTTCTAGAACCGACTGCAATAACATGATCATCTGGACTAAATCTTAAACACAGCACTTTCCCCGGAAGGGTGCTCAGGACAGTCCCTCGAGGAAGCAGCCCTAAGAGGGTTTCAGACATGAGCGTCAGTGCATCAGGTCGGAGGATGTCACGTCAGAGGAGAGCGCTGACACCGCAGCATGTGCTGGCAGGCTGCACAGGGAGCTGCAATGAACTCAAGTGTGATCTGCGTTCTGTCTGGGGCAACACCAGGGACTGAAACCAGGGTCTCAGACGTGCTGCACAGCTCTGCCGCTGAGCTGCACCATCCCATCCTTTTTTTTCCTCTCTCTCTTTCTTCCCCCATAATTTTATTGAGAAACAAACAGCAATGATACAGTTTCAAATCACATTGGTAGGACAGCTTCAATAATTAACACATTGCACACTCTCTTCCTAGTAGTTATTTGTCATACAAGATGCAGACATGATATCCTACTTACAAATACTATTAGAACAAATCCCTCTATTCACTGAATTAACCATTTTGAATACACAGATTCAAAATGGTCGTTCATCTGTATCCCCTTTTTTTTGTTTAGTTCCATCATTTAGATATTATAGGTGTGTGAACTCAGCAAAATATTCCAAAATAGTCCAGTAGCCCATAATAGTGTTGGGTCTTCCGCTTGACTGGCAATGTCAGTTGTTGACCTGAGTCTTCTACCCATCTTTTCTCCTGAGATAAGGCTCACTAAACTGCCCAGGCTGGGCTGGAACTTGCAATCCTCAGGCCGTGGCACCCTGAGTAGCTCAGGTGAAAGGCACGGACCTACGGCTGGTGATCCGGGTTCCTTCAGAGTATAGAGGCGAGCGGACGTCAGTGATGCTTTGAAAGCACTCGGCACACCTGAGCTGTCTGTAGGGAGGCAGCCTGGCGGCATCGTGCACAGGCCTCCTCTGCTGGGCTGCAGGGCTGCAGGGCACCTTGCGCAGACTAAGCTGAGTGCCCCAGTCCTTCTCTTGTGACCTGCTCTTGTCACACTGGGTAGGCAGAGGGACAATGTGCCACTAGAGCTACACCTCTGGGGCTCTGCAGCCCCATGAAGTCATCCCCAAGCCAGTCTGAGGGTAACAGTGACAACTGCAGGGACAAAGCTGACCTGGATGATCACAGCTAGGAATGGAGCACGCCCACCAGCCCTCAGCATGTGGGCAGGAGACAGGGCTCCCACCTTTGGGCCCAGCTGTGCAAGAGGGACAAGCGCTCAGCCAGCAAGGCCCTGGAAAGGGACAATGTAAGTGTCTGCAGAACCCAGGTGTGGCCAGGCTATGCTGGGGCTGGCTCTGTGGCTCTTGTCCCACACCAGCCTCTGTCGGGGAACTGGGAACAGTGACCAGACAGACAGGGGCCTCTGCCCTCATGGAAACTATTAACACAGCAGGAGAGCAGAGGGCAGACAGCCAGGACAAGGACAGGAGTGCCTCAAGCCACTAACAAGAAGCCCACACTTGGGCAGCACCAGCAGGAGGGGTCAGGTGCTCGGTGGGGCCGAGAGGGGCCAAGATGCAAAGGGGAGGACAAAGCAGCAGCGACCCTGAGGCCGAAGTCCCAGAAGGACGAGGCCACGCTGTCCTCAGGCTGGGTGCGGCGGCACTTTGAGAGAACTACACTTTTTGTAATTATCCAGGTTTTATTTATTTATTTTAATGAAAACAAAACAAAAATTCCAAATCAAATAGGATAAAAATGGTTAATACATATTATTATCTTTAAATTAGTTACTCAGCGTACACGGTATAAGCATTTAATTGTCCAAACAATATCAGCACAGACCTCTTTTTGATGAACTAAAAGAAACTAGTAGCATAACTATCTTATCCATCTTTTATGTATATAATCAGGTTTTCCTTCCTGCTTTTCCTTTCCTTTTTGCTCCCATTCCCCCAGCCAGTTTTCTTTCCTTTTGAAGTTCTCATATTTTACAGTATCTATGGTACATTATGGACCTTACTTGCTCTTTCAGCTTCTCACAGTAGGGCGACAATATCTTCACACATCCGTGCCTAGTTTATTTCACTTTTGTGGGTATGGTCTCAAGTTGTGACTACTTACCTATAAAAATCTCCAGTTTGTCTTTCTTTACAGCTGAGCAATCTTCCTTTTTACAAGAGCCCACATCTCCTCTCCCTGCATACCTTGGTTGATGGGCATCTGGGCTGTTCCCAGGACCCAGGCAGTGCACCCTCCAGCCGCTAGACATGCCCCAGCCCATCCACCGGCCTCACTCGGCCCACACAGCCGCCTGCCAGCAGAGGGCTCCACGGGCCTCGAGCATTGTCCTGTCACACTGCTTTCATAACTGCCACTTGTTCGTTTGAGCATCCAGAAGTGAGCTCACACAAGGAGCTCAACTGCCAATCCTTCCCAT